GAAAGCTGCTCCTACAGCTCCTTGTCCAGCGAACATGTCAAAGCATTCAACATCCTGAGATCAAACAATCATAAGGATATAAAGGAAAAATGTCTCTCCAGCTAAGCCAAGGAAAGGACACGGTCATGGTGTTTGTAGCTTGTGGCTGCCACAAAATCACATAGTTCCAACCTTGGAAGCGGTTCCCGTGCAGTCGCCCCCCAACCTAGGCCTGGGCATCGGGCAAAGCTGTCGGTGCTCCAAGGTGAAGCAACATTGTGGCAGAGCATGCGGTCAAGGCCAAAGCCGATGACCGCCACCGGGGTGCCATATCTGCCGCCGGACTTGGCTTCGATTTGATGGAGCAAAGGGCCACTCACAAAAAGACACATTCAGTTTTCGGACGTTGTTACAAACTGCAAAGACTAATTGTGATTGAAGCAGTGGATTGGCTATTATTTTTGTCTCGCGGTCTCCACGGGCACGTTGTTCCTAAGCCTGTGAAGCTGAGTATCTATCTAGATCAACCCTGACACAATGTCATGTGTCTATTGAACGAAATGGATCCAGGGGATCCCAAACCCAGGGGCTACACACACGACATACAAAGCTCAGGTTGCTTTACGTGTTAGACTAGTTGACCACTCATCGGCTCATGAAAAAAAAACTAAATATGTGCGTTCATTCAACTGAAGATGGTAGCCCATCAAATCCACAACGGTCGTGGAGTCGTAGCTCAGAATTTGAGCCACTTCGCTAGGCGTCGAGCGTAGTTCCACCTCAGAAGAAGACTCTCAGATGTTGCTTTTGTTAAACTGGCCGTGCATTTGTCATATAAGTTTTGAACGCGTTCAAGGTCCCACCATTTGTGTGCCACCCGACAGTGACCCCACCATTGCTGTTCGCCTGAAAGCGACAAGCACCAACAACCACCTTGGGAATTGACCTGCGCACTGCATGCCTTGAACTGCTTCTTGAAGTGATCATTCACAGTCTTGATGGATTGCTCATCGACGTTGTTCACATAGAACGACCCAGTCAGCCTCGAAGGGTACATTGGACGCATGAACATATTGTATTATAGACGCTCTAGGTCCTGGGCAAGACTTGGATTGAAGAACATGATTCTCCACCCGCTTCCAAGAGTTCTTGAGGTGGCTCAATGGTCCATGACCTAATGAAGTCAATTAAACAATCTAGAAATGATACATATTGGAATACTTAGAGGATGACATCACACTCTGCAGCTTCTCTGGACTTGGGACAATCTTGAACATGATCGGGTCTGGCAGGGTTTCAAGCACGACCATCTCCTGCAGGCACTTGGCTTTCCGGTCCTGCGCAAACATCGATCACAAGGCTGGATTGGAGTGGGCCCGAACTCGCCTCACGGTATTGCTTTCGCTTCAACCTTGCTGCACAAAGGTCCTGCCAAAGAAAAATACATTGCAATTGTTTATTAATTAACTGTTTGCCTATGAAATATGTTATCACTTGTATGCGGGTTTGACAATCCTATGTTCCATGTTGGGCAGCTCCTCTAATCTGATCTCTGCAAGTAGTGCAAGGATTCCTACAGTCCGTATTAGTTGGCATAAACTTGCGGGGGTCAGATTTGGGGGTCCGGTCCAAAGTGGAGCATCGGTAGTCCTCATCCGATTTCTTTGCTTCATTTGTTTCCTCCTTTGAATTTTCTTTCCTTTCATCACCATGGTTGTCTTCGACTTTGCTCTTCTTGGACGAGGATGCCTTTGCTTTTGCACTTTGCTTACGTTTTTTGGTGTGTTCATCTTCCTTGGACCGTTCCTCTCTCAGAGCTGCATCTTGTGCTTCCAGACGAAAATCCAAACCTGGAAGGTGTTCAGGATCGGTCAGCGGCGTCTCCTCGGCGGGTTGCCCATTCTTCTCAGGCACTTCACTCTTCTTTCGACCTTTACCTCTTCCTTTGCCTTTTGCTGCTTTCTCCTCTGCTGCTTCCCGCTTTTTCCTTCTCAAGCTCTCCCTCAAATCTGCTTGCTCTTTCAGAAGTGATGCGATCCGCTCCTCGTTGTCCTTCTTTCCTGACGGGTCAATGAGTTCTGGCACTGGGGTCAAGCCAGGACGACAGTCTGCAAATGCGTTTTTGGGCTGTCCGTTTTCTTCGCTTTCAGCGCCCGAATCACTATCCTCCCCCTGATCCATCTTGCTTTCCTGTCTTTTCAGTTTCATGTATTCATGCAAAGCCAACCTCTCGCCTTCAGCATCCGCCCCCGAACACTGCCTTTGTCGCTTCCGACGTTCGGCTTCTGCTTCAAGTTTGTTTGTGACCTCTGCTTTAACGTTTTCAGCCCAGGCCCTTTTCTTTTCCTCGCGAATCTTGATGATTTCTTCTATGGTTGGAACCTGTCCCAAGTCAGCTGTCTCATTATGTTTGGCTTCTTTGCTCTTCGGTTCCTTCTCTCGAGCCTTCAAAATCCTTTGCACCTTTTCCTCAACCTTTTTCTGGTATTCTTCTTTGTCTTTCTTCTGTTGCTCTTCAATTCTCTTTTGTTCATCCTCCTTGCGCTGCTTCTCCTTCTCGGC